CAGCCACCAGAGACGGTGCCAGACCCCTCCAGTGCCAAGCCCATCGTCTACTCAGACGGAAGGAGGCCGATGACGATGATGATTATTTACAGGTTCCAAATGTGATAAAGCAGCAGTACCTGTTGTTTATTGTTGTTTATTTATTGTTATTTATTATTTCCAGGTTCCAAACGCGATAAAGCAGCAGTACCTGTTGTTTATTGTTGTTTATTTATTGTTATTTATTATTTCCAGGGTTCCAAACGCGATAAGCAGCAGTACCTGTTGCCGCCGCCCCTGATGCCGCCCCCGCCCAAGCGGCTGTGCCAGGCCGCCCCGACCAAAGAGCCGCGACCGACGTCGCCCAACACCTCCGCAGGAGAGCAGGAGGAGGTATGCAGCTCTTTGTCTTCTTAAAATGCCATTTGTTTGTTTTTAAAAGCCCACACGGCTCTTTGTTTTCTCTAGAAGAAACTAATTTGTTTTTATCTGGCATCTGTATCGGTATAGCCGGTATAACCGCCCTTTGGCGTAACACGCCAAATTTTGTTTGTTAGATTTTAAAAAATAATGGAAAAATAATGCAGAACTGGAAGATCTAACTTTAGTTTTGAGGCCTGAATACATTTTGCAACCTACTGGTAAAATACCATTAAACTGAATAAAATGACCTTTTGTTTTGCCCCCTGTAGTAACTAAAGAGTGCTCATGTGGCTGACATGTTTGTTTGATTATTTAGTGGCTGAAGAGCGTCCTTTTTGCTGACGTGTTTGTTTGTTTGTTTAGTGGCTGATACATTTGTTTGTTTAGTGGCTAAAGAGCATCCTTATTGCTGACATGTTTGTTTGTTTGTTTGTTTAGTGGCTGAAGAGTGTCCTTTTTGCTGACGTGTTTGTTTGTTTGTTTAGTGGCTGATACATTTGTTTGTTTAGTGGCTAAAGAGCATCCTTATTGCTGACATGTTTGTTTGTTTGTTTGTTTAGTGGCTGAAGAGCGTCCTTATTGCTGACGTGTTTGTTTGTTTAGTGGCTGATACATTTGTTTGTTTAGTGGCTGAAGAGCATCCTTATTGCTGACTTGTTTGTTTGTTTGTTTGTTTGTTTAGTGGCTGAAGAGCGTGATCGCGATGCAGGTGAAGGTGGCCCAGCACCTGACCCAGCAGCAGCTACGCGGCGAGGCTCCTTCCCTCAAAACCACCCTCCCCGCAACCGCGCCCGTTACCATGGAAACCGCTCGCGTGCCCTCGCCGCCCGTCGTAACCACAGCAACCACTGCCTCAGGAACTCTCGTCGACCAATCACAGCACACGAACTGCGTCGCTGCTACCAGCGCGACCAATCGCGGCTCCCCAGTCCCCAACGGGCCGGTCAAACAGGAGGCGGCAATTCACAGAGACTCCAGCCCCACGCCGCTTGTAGGGCTGCAGGGGGGGCACATTGGGCCGCATGGGGCTCAAATAGGGCCACAGGGGGGTCACACCGGGCCGCAGGGGCCCCCCAAACCTCAGGAAGTCTTGGCCAATGGGCCCACGTGTCAGCGATCGGAGGGGAAGGCGAACGGGCCGGTTCTGGCTGGCGGCGGGAGAAGCACGATCAGCAGCTCTGCGCCGGAAACGTTACTCGACCTGCTGAAACCCGACCCTGACCGGACGCCCAACCATTCCCTCCCCAGGCCAAAGGTCGTAGGGGAAGGGTCGGAGGTCAAGCCGGGGGAGTCGCGTGTTGTGACCGTGCCCAACAGCATGACGGCGAACCTACAGCAAAGAATCGTCACCACGGTCGCCGGGAGACAAGGCACCGTTGTCACCACGAGGGTCGTGACCCCAAACGCACGCCAGGGTCAAGTGCCAAAGGTCAGCGTGAGTCAGGGCATGGCCGTCAGTCAGAGCCCTGTTCCCGGGAGGTCGTCGCCCACGGTTACGGGGTCAGCAGCAGGCCTGATGGGAAGTCTAGGCCGGATGGTGAACAGCCAGGCAGTGGGGTCAGGTGAGGTCAAATCTTCTGACAGAAATCTGACAAAAGATTCAGGGCTCGAAATTCATTGGGAATAGGTGCACTGTTGTTTTTTGTTGTGTGCACCATATAAGATAAAGTAAGTAAATGTCAGCAAAAACTAATTATGTTTCGCTTCTAAAGAAAAGTACTATAACAATGACTTTGTTATGTTTCTGACACTTAGATGTTAAGATAGCGTGAAACATTTGGATAAAATATTAAGTGTTTGTCACAAACATGTCAGCCTTCTTTTTCTCTTCCCCGCAGCCAAAACGGTGAACAGTCCGAGCCCTGGCCTGGGCGTTGCCGGGGGTAACAAGGCCCCGCCCGTGACCATGCTCAGCTCCTCCCCGACGATACAGAACCTCAACAACCAGCTGCAGGCCATGATAGACGGGGTCGGAGGTCAGTCCAGTGGAATCATGGGAAGGCTTTTGCACAGCAGCAGATTTAGAAAAGTTGTGCAAATTTTGGTTTAAGGATCACAGTTTAGACAAGGCAATAATAATATAGTGTTTTGGCAGAAAGCAAACATTGTTTTTGCTCTGTTTTTATAATTTTTCCTCAGACAAATAAGGTCAATGACTGGACAAGACATCTGTCACCATGGTAACTTGTGCTGTAGCAGACAAACTGTGGTGTTGGGTTACATTATGTAGTAGGAAAGAGTTGGAGGGGCTGCTCACCATACTAATATATGTGAATGTCGGAGGTCAGTCGGGAATCATGGGAAACTTTTCAAGATGTGTATTTTTTTTTATTCATGGTTCACCACAAAACAAGGCTCATGAGAGCCACTCAAATGCTTTGGGTTACTGTACAGCCAGTGAGGACAGATGTTTGTTAACCTTAGACTTGAAAAGTTTAAGGTTATACCCATATGGGAAACAATCACGTGGTAGCCTATTCCTCGCTTTTAGAAGTGTCATGCAAGCTTTGGTCAAAGGACCAATGTTTAGATTACTAGTAGTCAATTATTATGTTTATCTCAGCAGAAGGAGAGGTTTTGTTTTGTTTGTCTTCTTTTCCAAACAAATAAGGTCAATGATCTAGACACGACGTCTGTCACCATGGTAACTGGTGCTGCAGCAGACAGCCTGTGGTGTTGGGTTACATGATGTAGCAGGAAAGAGTTGGAGGGACTGGTCACCATATACTAGTAATAGTAGTATATGAATACATATGTATGTACGTATGAATGTGTTTGAGTAAGAATAAACAGAGCTGTAGTTTGTTAGGCTAGACCATGTGAAGGCAAATATTCATTATCTTTGCAAATGTTACATTTGTACTTTATTTATGTCATCACGTTTTGTGCAGTCCAACAATACAACATACTACTCAGAACAGTACAGTTGATTATGGTGTTAATCATGGCATTTCCTTCAAAGCTAGACCTTAACATGTTGTTTGAATGTTTGATTGACAGAAGTTGAACTGAGCAAGTTGGACCAACAACTGATCAACATCCTGGCCTTCCAGAGGCTACAGCAGCTCCTCCCGCCAAAGGTGAGGCACCAAGCTCATTGTATACTACTCAAACATTACCTCCTGCCAATAGTGAGGCATACAGCTCATCATATACTACTCAAACATTACCTCCTGCCAATAGTGAGTCATACAGCTCATTGTATACTACTCAAACATAACCTTCTGCCAATGGAGAGCCATACAAGTCATCGTATACTACTTAGATGCTGCCTCCCACCAACAGTGAGTGACATGGAACATTATGTACTAGTCATATACTGCCTCCTGCTGGAAATGACTTACAAGTCTCTTCATTGACTACTCATTCACATGAATGTGTCCTTTCGAAGATGAGTGTCATTAAGATGCATGCAAAGGTATCTCCCTAGAACTGAGAAATCTTGTAGGACAAATCTTAGAACTTTCTTAAAACCTTTCTTAATCTGCTCTTTCTTACCCCCCCTCCAGACCTCCACCTCTCAGCCCAGCAATAAGAAGACGTTGTTTAACGGACTGAACGGGCCGCTGCTGTCGGGCAGTTCGCAACAGCTGCAGGCGCGAGCCGTGATGTGTCCGCTCACGGGCAAGGGGCAGCCGGTCCAGATGTGCTACAGAACGCTCCACATAGGAACAGGTAACTACAGAACAGCTACAGAATAACTACAGAACTCTCCACATAGGAACAGGTAACTACAGAACAGCTACAGAATAATTACAGAACTCTCCACATAGGAACAGGTAACTACAGAACAGCTACAGAACAGCTACAGAACTCTCCACATAGGAACAGGTAACTATAGAACACTGCACATAGGAACAGGTAACTATAGAACTACAGAACAACTACAGAACAGCTACAGAACACTGCACATAGAAACAGGTAACTATGGAACTCTCTACACAGGAACAGGTAACTACAGAACAGCTACAGAACTCTCCACATAGGAACAGGTAACTATAGAACATCTACAGAACTCTCCACGTAGGAACAGGTAACTATAGAACATCTACAGAACTCTCCACATAGGAATAGGTAACTACAGAACAGCTACAGAACTCTGCACATAGGAACAGGTAACTATAGAACAGTTACAGAACACTGCACATAGCAACAGGTATCTATAGAACAGTACAGAACTCTGCACATAGGAACAGGTAACTACAGAGCAGTACAGAACTCTCCACATAGGAACAGGTAAATACAGAACTCTGCACATAGGAACAGGTAACTACAGAACATCTACAGAACACTGCACATAGGAACAGGTAACTATAGAACAGTACAGAACTCTGCACATAGGAACAGGTAACTACAGAACAGTACAGAACTCTCCACATAGGAACTGGTAAAAACAGAACTCTGCACATAGGAACAGGTAACTACAGAACATCTACAGAACACTGCACATAGGAACAGGTACTTAGTAACTACAGAACAGTACAGAACACTGCACATCGAACAGGTAACTATAGAACTACCCACATAACAACAGGTTGCAATAGAACTACAGACATAACAGTTTACTATAGAACTATACACATAACAACAGGTTGCTATAGAACTACACACATAACAACAGGTTACTATAGAACTACACACATAATAACAGGTTACTGTAGAACTACCCACATAGGAACAGTTAACTACAGAACAGCTACAGAACTCTTCACATAGGAACAGGTACTTAGTAACTACAGAACAGTTACAAAACACTGCACATGGAGCAGCTAACTACAGAACAGCTACAGAACTCTCCACACAGGAACAGGTAACTATAGAACTACACACATAGCAACAGGTTGCTATTGAACTACACACATAACAACATGTTACTACAGAACAGCTACAGAACTCTGCACATAGTAACAGGTAACTATAGAACAGCTACAGAACACAGCACATAATTATAGAACACGTCACATAGCAACAGACAAATACAGAACTACACTACTAGAGAACTACACCCATAACAACAGGTTGCTATTGAACTACACACATAACAACAGGTTGCTATAGAACTACACACATAACAACAGGTTGCTATAGAACTACACACATAACAACAGGTTACCATAGAACTACACACATAACAACAGGATACTATAGAACTACAGACATAACAACAGGTTGCCATAGAAACTGACAGAAGTTGTTCCCCTGCAGGAGGTGACATGGACGTGTGTTTGAATCACTACGGCAACTGCAGCTTCGTCTCCGCAAAACACGCCTGTATCTTCTACGATGAGGTAAGGTTTCATTTAACTGGCAGGTTACAGATGTGACAATGTAACGTGAAATTTCTTGCAAGTTCCGGTAAAATCATTGTATATTATAATGCAAGATTTTAAAGGTGAACAAACAGTTCTTCAAACATTCGTAAATAATTTCATCAGGTTGGTAAACGAATGAATAGCAAAGTTCTTTGATCACAACCATACAAAATTGTATATCAATCAATAGTTCTTGCTTATAAACCTGCATTTCTCCTCTGGTCTCTCAGTCACTGACAAAAGGTAGTGGATACTAGCTGAAACGTCTGACCTTTTCCAAAATCATATCCAGTTGCTAGAGTAACTGCTTCTTGGGGTATGGTGAGTTTACTTCTTGTGTTGGAACAAAACTCTATAACTAAAGCAAGAATCTTGATTTCAGACGACGCAGCACTACGAGCTTCTGAACTACAGCGAGCACGGGACGACGGTGGACAACGTGCTCTACTCCTGCGACTTCTCCGACAAGCAGGCCGCCGTCGCCCCCGGCAACCCCATCGTCAGCCAGGTCCGCAGCATCATCTGCAGGAGGAGGCAGGAGAAGGAGGAGGAGAAGGTACCCGGGGCTCTGTTGGTTTGTTTGTTTCGCATAGATGTTAAATAGTGCTGTATACCGGTTCACTGGACTTGGATCCGGACTTGTAAGAATGTTTAGGTCCAAGTAAAAAAAAAACTAAAAGTCAAGAACCGAGTCCGGACTTATTACCATAAAAGACCATTTCACATTACCCCTTTTCTTTCCAAACCACCTAAAACCTTCCGTAGATTGCAAAATCTTTGCTGCAAAATGAAGAAAACATTGCCATCGGGCATCGTCAAGTACCAGCCTCCATGTTGTGTGGCCAAAGTTTCACCCAGACAACATTGCAAGGTTGCCAACATGCAGTTTTGTATATGCCATGGGTTTAGGGCTGGACTTACAAGTCCGGAACTGAACCTAAACCTCTGGACTTGAACCCGGACCTGAACCTAAAATTGGGTTTAGGTATGCATCACTAATGTTAAACTGCCTTTAGGTGTCACACACACCAGTTTTATACAATAGTTTCAAAACCAGACTGTAAGATTTGATCCACTCACACTGGGAAAGAGCCCTATTCTTAGCGATAATTTTGGTAGGATCTTTAACGTGAGGTGTGGATAAATTTCATAGAAAATGCACTTACTGTAGTTTTGTGAATGGCGCAGGGGGTTGTTTCAGTTTTGTGAAGACGATTGTTGTTGTTCTACGGGAGAGAAAACGCATGTCTGCGAGTGGCTCCAGTCTGCCCAAACCCTGTAACTGCAAAGTTTTGTTGTTGTTGTTTTACAGGAGAGAAAACGCATGTCTGCGAGTGGCTCCAGCCTGCCCAAACCCTGTAACTGCAAGGCCAGCAGCTCGAGCCTGATTGGCGGCAGCGGTGCAGGATGGGAAGGCACGGCGCTGTTGCACCATGGGAGTTACATCAAGGTCGGGTGTCTGCAGTTCGTGTTCAGTATCGTCGACCACGCGGCGAGATTCGCGCCCGGCGAGCGGAAAATGTCGGGAAAATCAACCCTTCTCAGGTCCACCTCAGTCCCATAACAGTCCTATTCCAAACTCCCTACATCCTTTGCAACTACCCATGATTCTCTGCAGGATGGGGCAAAGGTCACAGGTCAAAGTGTATGAATGATTCTGAGTGTACAGATGATGACGAGTTAAGAAAAAAAAACAAAGAAGATATTTTTGAAAGCTATCTTTACTACTACGTTGTACACAATTGTTGTGGATGTTCCGTGGTTTTTCTAGTAGATATTCCCTAGATTATTTTTGTGGAAGCGAAAATAAAAACTCTGTTCCGATGTATTTCTCCTATGTTGTCAAGTTCAGAAGATAAAAGATTTATTGTTAGGGTTGTGTAAGAGTGCAGTGCTTCCTCCTTGAAAGTAAGAGTAAGAACTTGTGAAGTTGAGAGCTCTTTTCAAATGGACTTCGGTAGCTAAGGGACTAGATCACTTTAGAATGTAAGTTAGGTCGGACAATGTTGTCAAACGAAAAGAAGATGAGTAGATCATACTCAGTGCGAAAGTCTCAGCCTCAACTGCAAGTCCTGGAAAATGTAAAGACGACATTTCGATGTAAAATCTACTTCTTGTATCTTCTCAAGAAATGATTGGCGGTTTTGACAAGAAGCTGAGAATCGGTAGAAATGAAATGTGGAGGTTCCAACATGTTTTAATGTTGGGGGGGGGGGAGGAAGGCCACTGCTGTCAGATATGGCATCGTTTGTACCCTATTTTTGAACGTAAGTTATTTTTAATGAATTTTGAGCGCTTAATTCGTGAAGAGCCTCTACAACCCCTTCCTCTTGAAATGAATTTGATAAAATGTTTGTAAAGTTTTAGTGTGGAGTCTGTAGTTGGAAGCTTTTGCCACGTTTTATCTGGTCCTACGAAATACGAGGCTCAAAAGTTGAAATGTTGATTTGTTGAAGAATCTACAGTTTTCTTCCTTGTACATAGTGTTTGATAAGTGTACAGATCTATACTGTTGTCTAGTATTACTGACATGTATGTATATCCATAAAGGAAAAATGCTTTAACAGAAAAACTTATGTGTGAAAATATCACCAGTCTTTTATTTTACTGTCGGGTGTGTTGAGCACGTCGGCAGAACGTACTGCACCTGCGCGAAACCCGTAATGTATTGTACATAGCACTTTGGCAGAACGTCTCATATAAGGTCGTATTCGCGCATATAAGGAAAACATCTCGTCTGCAGTTTCCAAATGTTATGTCGGAAAAGATATCCTCTGCAACAGGCAAACTTCTGATGCAACGCTGACCAAAAATCCATCGATAACTGAAAATACAGGGTTTTGCGCAGGCGCAGTACGTTCTGCCGACGTGCTGGTGTGTTGCATTGTGGGAAGATGACGGGGAAGATCATGTGACCGGGTTGCTGGTCTGTGATTGGCTGAGGAGGTGCTTACATCATTGGTGTTAGAGGGTATAGCTCAGCTTTCGTTTTTTCCTTGGGTAAATGCTTTATCAAATATTTATCTGCACAAAATTATTTTGTAGTTTTCTGGATGTTCACAAAGCTGGACCCTCTCTCATCAATGTTCTTAAGGCCCCCCCAATTTAATTTGTTGGTTCTCGGATTTTTTTCAGAAAAAATATGAAGCGACAGGGCGTAAAAAAAATAAAAATAAAAACTTATGTACACATCCTATTATAGGCTTAAATGCTACAAAATGAGCCAGGAAGTCAACACAAAAGGCTCGGTTAATTTTTAACAATGAATTTTGAACTTTTAATCAAACCACTGCAATGATAGATGGGAAAACTGTAACAACTAGGAAGAAAAGGACTTTCCTCAACTGTTGGGGGCAAAATCTGAGCATTTTTTAGTTGATCAGAATCTTTTTTTTTTTTTTTTTTT